ATAGCTGATGCAGCAACAGCATCTAGCTGAAAACAAGCTCTTTCCATCTGAGCAGAAAGGAAACTGCCTGAACAGCAGAGAGACCAAAAATAAGTTCCTAATTTGAATTTGGAAAACTGTAAGAGAAGGAAGAGCAACTCAAACGTAGCTTGGATTGATTACAAGAAGGCATTCGACTCCCTGCCACGTGACTGGATAATCAAGTGCCTAGAAATAACAGGAGTCAGTAGAAACATAGAAGCTTTGTGCAAAGATCAATGGCACAATGGAAGGTCAGTGGTGATAGACTGGGAGAGGTTAACATCAAGAGAGGAATCTTTCACTATCACCACTACTGTTTGTCATCGCACGGATTCCTCTGTCAACAATACTGAACAAGTCAGGCCATGGCTATCAAACATCAAAATCATCTGCCAGGTTATCCCACCTCCTTTACATGGACAATCTGAAACTGTATGGAAAAACACTATCTGAAATGGAATCATTGCTCAACACTGTTTGAATATACAGCCAAGATATTGCAATGGAGTTTGGACTGGACAAATGTGCCACCCTCACCATCAACAGAAGAAAAATAGTGAAAACTGAAGGAATCAAGATGCACTATGGAAATAACATCAAGAGTCTGGATGAAGAAGATCACTACAAATACCTGGGCATCCTTCAGGCTGACAACAAGCATACTGAAGTCAAGAAGAAGGTTAGTAGTGAATACATCAGAACACTGAAGAAGATCTTAAAGTCCAAACTCAGTAGTGGAAATATCAGCAAGGCAATTAACACCTGGGCAATTCCAGTCATTAGATACACAGCTGGAATAGTGGACTGGACTCAAGCTGAACTAAAAGCCCTGGACAGGAGGACCAGAAAAATTATAATAAATCATGCCCTTCATCCATGCAGTGACAATGACAGACTCTATTTACCAAGGAACATAGATGGGCGTGGAATGTTACAAATATACCAGACAGTTGAAGAAGAAAAAAAGGGCATTGGGAGAATATCTGAAAGGCAGTGAAAAAGATGCACTGAAGCTAGTACACCATGAATACTTACTGAATACCAAAGAGACCAAACTGGCTTATAAGAAAGACCAAGTGAAGAATAGAAAAGAGACATGGCAAGGCAAAATATTACATGGCCAGTACACAAAAAAACTAGCAGTTAAAGCAGATAACAACAAGACCTGGCAATAGCTAAGAGCTGCAAAGTTGAAGAAAGAGACAGAGGGGCTAATTCTGGCTGTACAGAACAAGCCTTAAGAATGCATAAAAGCCAGAATTGAGAAGGCAGCAACAGACAGCAACTGCCGCCTCTGCAAAGAAGCTGGAGAAACAGTGGACCACCTAGTTAGCTTCTGCAAGAAGATCGCACAGACTGACTACAAACAACAGCATGACAAAGTAGCAGTAATGGTGCATTGGAGTATCTGCAAGAAATGCCATTTGCCTGCAAGCAAGAACTGGTGGGATCACAAAACAGACAAAGTAATA